TGGACAACGCATTCATCTGCCAGAGTAAAAATCTGCAATCTTTCGTACAAGTGGGTGAACCTAGGCAATATGAATGCTTAGACAACAGCTGTCCACCACATTTATCAACTCATACATCTCTGATTAATTCTTTTGAAGAAATACTGTAAGAGGACATGTGGGTTATGTAGCAGCACAACAACAACAACTACATTAGCACCCGGTCAAATCAATCCGTTGACACCAGGTGAATGCTTTTCTTCAGAGATTTCCTCCTTTAATAGCGAATGAAATGGATATGGTGCATCCATTAAAAAAAGCCCTCGAGAATTTTCCTTTCCATTGGTAGGCAGCAGGCATAGAAGTTATACTGAAAATAGAGCCTCAAGAGATAGCGTAACTTTTTTCTTTATTTCAGGTGCTGGAGGTGCTGGTGCTGCATGTGGGATGAATCCAAAGTAATTTTTTACGGTATTGCATAAGGATTTCAAGTTGCTGCTCTCTTTCGTTGTGCTGTCAAGGTTCTTCTTCATGAGATCCGTAATGTAACCATTACAGCCCTTACTTGACCAGTCTAGTGGCTTCAATGACCCAGGGACTATATATTTTCGTTGCCGGCCTATTCAGGGCAGGCCAAATGCCCCAACTTCTCCTGCGTGTTTGGGAATACCATGGAAGATGAAAACATTGATTATGCCTGGGGTAGTAGACCAGACCCGTGAGAGAATGGTGAATGTATAAACAGGATGAACTTCGACTTGAGTAAGGGGGAATATTGGTTCAAAACTCTATCCTCATCATCAGGCATATTGTACCTATTGATGTCCAACCTCTTTTACTTACAGTTGTCAGACCTGGGCTCGAAATGGATTCTGCACGAGCACATTCTATTCTCAAGCGCAGATAATGCAGTATTGTGGGCGCGCCTGTGGCCTCTGCTAGGAAGAAATCTATGACTTTTAGAAGTACTTCTTCATCGCTTTCGAATGTGAATCTTCACATTTCATAGGTGTATACTTTGCAATGTTTTGTAAATTGTCCATTCCTCAGTATTAATGAAGATGAAATACTAATTGCCATGTTCCAGTTGTTCTCCTATGGTCAATAAAAGTCACAAATCTATTGCAGTTGTTCAATTTTCCAGTGGTTTCTATTGTGAAGCAAATAACCATTTGTAGGTGCATTCGGCTTCTGGAATTAATATGAGCTCATATACTGTCAGAAGCTTCATTCCCCCACTGATGTCTCTAACTAAATACAGGAATCAAAGAGATGGAGGGTCGAAAGATACAAGCAGTTCTGTTCAAATGATGAGTTCGGAGAAGCAGTTAATAAGGGAAGCATGCGTAAATAGGGAAGTGAAGGGACTGTAAATCACCTTGAGGGGCTAAGAAAGCCTCGTACTCAAACACCACTGGGGATGCAACGAATTGTGTGCCATGATTGTGACGAAATTCCAATTTCAATAGCTGTCTTGGGAAAAACTGAAAATACTGCGCGGAAAGTACTTAAAGTGTATTGGAACGGTCAGGAAGGATTTTGTCGTGCTCATTGTAGCAGACGTTAATTTCTGGGTGGTCGATCTACGCTCCGTCGACTTAGATCAAGGTAAGCCTTTTGTATACAGGGCCCGTGGTCTCCTAGACTGAATTGTCTTGGGTTTATCTTGCTTTATAAGTGAATCAAACTCAGTGGTTTTCTTCGACTAATAAGCTCTGACGGAGGCGAGCTTGGCAAAACGTTAGCCCTATAAAGTCTGAATTATTCGAAAGGCTGAAGAAAACATACATACTAGTCAGAGGTCATGCCAATATTAAGAGAAGGTCGATCGGGGTATACTTATTCTACAGAATTGTAAATTGTTTCGATTAAGGTAGTGGCATGTTCAAACATTTACGAACAAAGCTAAACCACAGTTCGAATGTGAAAGGAGCAAAATTGAGGTTGAAAAGCTCACTTTACTATGAGTTCAAAAAAAGTTGTGTGTGAGATGAACAGCACTACACCTGCAGTCAGATCCGACTTCTCACAACTGTTTCCACATAAAAAAGTTTCATTTCCTGCGAAAAAAAAATAAATAAAGATAAATAAAAAAATAAAAAACAAAAATCTCAGCGACGACGGCACATTCTCGACTCTAGAGTTGGCATGCCTTTAATGTTTTTTTTTTTGTGGAAAAAGCCTCAGTGCTCCTCAAGTGGCCTGTTTTCCATCATCACTTCTTGGCTCCATAAATTTAATAGAAAGCCCCTTAGATAGTTGAAATTGAGGAAGCATTTAAACGCCACTGAAG